TTTAGAAAAATTTGTACGTTCACTCAACTGTACAGCTATGCTTATGCTGTTACTAAATGTTTGTCATCCTATTTTCTGTACTTTTATAGTTAATTCTTTCTTACCTAAAAGCTATCACAAAAAACAATTAACTGTTTTTACTTTTATATGGATCTATTCTGTCATACGAACCAAATCGGAATAAATTTAAAGTGAACAGCACAGGAATATGTATAAGTTCTAAGCGCTTGTAAATCATTTTATAATTCAAGTAGGAAAATTAAAAAACTCTACGTGCGAAAACGAATGCAATGTTTAACGATAGTTATCACGATGAAGCTCGTTAAAAATAAAAGCACGCAAGAAACATCGTTAAATATCTTCACGCGTGTAAACGAACCTAGCTTTCCATGATAGTTAACACGATATAGCTCGTTAAAAATGAAAAAACGCAAGAAGTATCGTTAAAAACTTCACGCATGAAAACGAATGCAATATTAAACGCCATGCAACGAGTTGGTGACCGTTAAAAATACAACCACGCGTGAAAAAGCGTGAAAAATCTAACGCGTTTTCACGAATTTCCCTAACTTACCAAAAATTTATGAAGCTTTCTTCGTTAAACTTCGTTAAATGCATATTTTATTTTTATATGGGAGATGATGATCGTTAAAAAAACAACAACGCGTGAAAAAGCGTGAAAAATCTAACGTGTTTTCACGATTTTTCCTAATTTAACGAAAAATAATGCAGCTTTCTTCGTTAAACTTCGTTAATTTGTCTCTTAACGCAAGTTTTGACGTTAATTTCAACCCTCTCTTCGTTAAATGCATATTTTATTTTTACATGGGATGTTCACGATCTATTGATATAATATCTGTCATTTGAATTACTCATAATATTATAAGCAAAACTATATTCACTATCAAAATCGTACATCATCCGTCGGCCGATCTATAAATCCATAACACGCGAATGGTTAATGGTACCAAAATTGCAAAACATCGAATGATGGATTATTCGAATTTCGAAAGAATAGTGTTTTAAATAATATTAATGTATACAATAGTGATAAAAGAAAAACTGATAAAAAGAATGAACTATTTTGATAATTTGTGATATGATGCAAATATTAATGCAAGCCATCCTATGACAATAATGTTACTTTAATTGAATAATTGATCAGCTGTCCACAGAATGATGATCATTATGAAGAATTAGTTCGAGTCACGTATCAAGGCGTGTACACTTTTTCGTTTTTGCTGATTGATAAAGTAAATCTAGAAATACAATATGCATATTATAACGGGCACTAATAAAATTAAAATATAAACAGGCTATGGGTGTGTAGGGTGGGCGTACAGAGTCTATCGATATGCGCCGATGGGCATTAGAGGAAATATTTCAAGTTTCGGCAAATTTCAGAAGATGATGGGCTGTACGAAAAATTTTTTCAATTAGGAATTTCGAATAATGAAACGTTAGATAGTTCGACTCTTATTTGACGCATTTAAGCACTTTTCACATTCGTTCTCCATGAAAATTATTTGAATGAGATAAGACTTGACATACATTCTCTTCAAATGATTCAACTTTAATACCATTCTATAGAGAATGGTATATAACTTATGAAAAACTTTCAATGATTCTAAATAAAAGTTCACTGTTGATACTGTAAGAGGAAAATACTAAACCGAAAATAGGACGTCGTATACGAGATTAAAAACCTTGCTGAGTATTGTACCTTGGATAAATAGACAAGTGCATACTTTTTGTAAATGTCTACACAGATTTAGACAGAATTCTTCGACTTGATAAAACATGTCTCTAGATCTATTACTTTATATTGATCATGAAAATGCTTACAAAAGTAATATATAGACATTATAAAGGTTCAACACAACTTAACGAACTTTCTGTATAGCATGAAATTTTCTTCAATTGTCAAATAGTCTTGCCATAAAATGGACATAAATTGATTGGACAAACATGGAATACTCATAGTTCAAAGTTGGCAAACAGCGCCAAACCTCACAGATACTTTGCTAATTATTTGTCCGTTTTAACGGCTGATATCGAGTTTAGATGCCCAATGATAGTTGTATTTCACTCTGATAAAACGCGATTGCTAATAAAACTATGATAAACACTACTAAATCCAGTGATACATACTGATAAATATTCGAAGTAAAGCAAGAAATATCAATTAAGTGTGGGTGTGGATGTTGATCGTCTGCTGATTCCTAGACACTGATACGCACAATCTCATAGAAGAAGGTGCTTTTTGAATTATAGGAAAGAATCAGCTCGTACCCTCTCCAAGTGCTATTATCGTTTTGGGGAAGGACTGATCCCTCAATGGCTTCTCAGGTTGTGTCTCTGATTCTCTGACACCACAATAGATCCTTCAACACTTCTTTCATGAAATAATCATTAATTATTGATCATGGAATCGTTATCATGTATTAATTATTTATTAATAAACTGTTAATTAGTTTCTTAATTAGTTAATTAAATAATAGGGATGCACCAATTCCGATTTCAACCAATTTCAATTCCAATTCTTCACTAGGAATTGGCGGAATCGATTGGAATTGGAAATTGGAATTGGTTGGAATTGGCTGGAATTGGAATTGGTTAGAATTGGCAAGAATTGAAATTGGAATTGGTCGGAATTGGGTTTTTTAAAATCGTTGATTTCGCACGTATTTCGAAAAATCGTCGATCGATCACCAATTTTTTTAGACCGATTCCAAACCAACTCCAATCCCAATTCTTGCTGATTCCAAGCAATTCCAATTCCAGCCGATTCCAACCAATTCCATTTCCAATTCCAATCAATTCCGACAATTCTACGAATTGGAATTGGTCGGAATTGGAATTGGTGCGTCCCTGTTAAATAAAGCATCTGTTCTGGCCTGCGAGAGACTGGGGGTGAAAATTTCTACTCCATATACTTCAATGCTCCTTTTCAATCGCGTTTCACAAAAATATCAGAACGACAATCATTCTCTCGCATTTTCATATGACCGATTGGTCATTTTTTTTCTTCTAGACACGCAATATACCTATAAAGAAGCTGAATATAGAATAAATGCAAGAATTTAAGATACTTATCGCTTCAAAATAAAGAAATGGAACGATGATAAGCCATTGCAATGTAATGGATTCTCATGCTTGTGTTCTAATTATTATATTAACCAGAAAAAATTCTGAAGAATGAGATTTGATGCCTTTTTTCTTAATGGCACCAACTAGGAGATAAATAGATAAATGCCGAAAGGAGAAATAAATATCTATATATGTAGACATCAATGATATATTGAAATTATCATTAGCAAGAAAAAAAACAGAAAGTAATCGACTTCAAAATAATAGCATGAAAGTAATATTCGTTGTTTTTCTGTTTCTGTCATAATTCTCGTTCTTGTAGGGAACCGAGTGCTGCTTGTTTTCAGCTTGTATCTTGAGCACAGACATACGTATGGAAAATAATCAATCATCTATATGTCATCATCAAGAAAATCAATTGAAACGAGTCAAAACTTTCTAAATCGTTTCTCTTATGACGTGTAGCATGCGAAAGAACGATAATGATGGAAGAAAAATGAATACTATAGTTGCTATTTCGGAATCATAATGCCGTATCTTGTCTTCACTTTAAGTATGGGTGTAAATGAGAATGCGTGGCTGCCAGTTTCGACTATGAGAAGAAGAACAACTAACGCGCATACACGCCCTCAAGATTACAATCGGCTCTAACACGTACAAATGATATTCGAGTAATTCAATATTTACTCGAAATTCATTTTAATCTTCAGATAAATATGACTCGACGACAAGGTATTTTTCTTGCATAATATTTGTTGCGATTCAATAGCTATTGATAAGTGATGATCATATGTACGTTCACAATTAAAATATTTCTCGAAAAATATTGGTCAATCCCTTTATTTTAATGAACTTGTTAACGATCTGAAAGGAAAATTCAATGCTGAACAACATTCGAATGAACTTGAATTGTTCAATGAACAGACAACAGATAAATTGTGGCCAATTCTATATTTTTTCTCTATTGTTTTCAAGACAGAACTATGCTTTTGAAGTGGTCACACAATTCAAAATTATCTTTCATCAAGAATTTCCGAATGTAGAAAAATGTCATTCTCGATGTAATTCTAATTTGATCTATCAACTATGTCTAATCACTAGCCAAATCATTTGTTTTTCCAAAAAGAAAGATCTATTCAACAAGATGAGAAAATTATGAAGCATATGATTATTAGAGTTCCATTCATAAGTTTATACATCGTATCCTAAAAATCACTTAACAAACGAATACATTGATTATTTTCTAATGTGTTTTAAACACAGGAACAGAAGTTCTCTTATGAACACCGACAGGTTTCAATCTTAGTTTTCAGTTTTTGATGCTAAATATGCCTTAGAAAATTATGACATTCAGATGAATAGTTATTGAGCACAAATAATGCTGCTAAGATTGTTGAATAAAAGTAAAAAACATTTTACAATCGCTTGGTAGAAATATTTTCTGTAATAAAAATCAGGCTCATCAGTCGACATTGATATTGTGTTAGCTTTTATTAGACTGGAACACTCCAAAAGTTTTTTTTTTCGATATTTTTGTTTTCATCGAGTATTCCGAACTTCGCTTTCGAGTCGTTGAAATGCACTCGAAAAGCCAGTAGTATTCTTTTGATAGTTTTATTCTCATTGCAGTACGTGAAAGTTTGATGACTCCTGAAGAGGGTACAATGAGTGTGAGTATGAGTGATCAGAAAATACACACTCACACTTCGATGTTTCACTTCCGTTTATTAATTCAAACATGAAGCTACGTGTACAAGACGAAAGTGAATAGATTATGTATTACTATGCTAAAAATCGTATCATAATTTGCTGAAGTTTAACGTCACATAATAAAACTGTTTGAATTAAAAACTAAAGAAAAAAGACAAGTATAACATATAATGAAATTTATATAGACAACAATAAACGATTTAAAATTGTTTCATAATATTAATAGGATCTTCATATGATGTTTGAATGAATGATCTAAAAAAGAAAAAGTATGCTTGTTTTTCAAATGAAAACTATTCGACTTCATAGTAAAAACTAGATATAAGCACTTTTTTAATGATAGTCTTTTAATAACATTGATGTAGCCCTTGTTAGATGCCAAATCGTCGCCCTTATGTTAAGCGTTACAATAGTGACATCCCAAAAGTAGACTTTCTTTCTTTGATCAATATTTTCTGTCGAAAAAAAATGCTTAAACAATTTTTGTGCGTTTTAAAATCGGCATAATCAGAAGAATAATCGAGTACTAATAAACTTATAAATCATTTTATTTACTTTCATACAATATATTTTAATCGCCGTTATATTCTAGTACGACATGCGACGAGAGATTTATGAAGCTGTTGTTTGTAAATTTTGATGGTAATATAAATACAATAAATGTAAGCATAGGTGGAATAAATGAGATAAAATATCCAATAAGAAGTAACCATGTATCATTTGTTGATTTCATACATTTGGCTACAAATAAAAGGATTAAACTTTGTAATGCAAAAATAACCAATAGAACAGGAGCAGTAAATAAAGTTTTGTGTTGTCGTATTTGTTCTTTTAACAATGTAAGAAAACTTTGATTAGTTTGAAGATTTGATTTTTGACGAGATTTTGCTGTTATGAGAATAACAGCTGATATTAGATTAATGACAAATGGAACCAAAAAATGAAAAGTATGCAAGATTGAATTGAATTTTTTTAAAACTAGATAGATAAGTAACAATACACCATATTCGTTTATCATTTTCATTTTCTTCATCAATTAAACGTCGATAAAAAAGATCATAAATATAAGTACAAATAACGACAATTAGAAGAATAACAATGACTATTTTTGCTAGTTTTTTTACTTTTTTTCTTTTAAAAATCAGTAGAGTTTTTATTATTGTCATTGTTCGTTCAATAGCAACAAAAGCATTTAATCATTGATTCATATTGACACAAACTCGTAAAAGAAAATCAAGAGATATACATTGAATTTGTAAAGATAATTGATTTGATATATGTTTCATTTATGCAAGAACAAGTATTCAAAATTTCAATTCAAATATAATCTTTGTAAGTAAAGTAGTAATTGATGAATCTAATAGATACATCCCACAACCAACTTCACATATTATTTTATTGTTTAATGTAATCAAAGCTAAAAATCCATTGATAAATCCTGCTACCATGAAGATTATAGTCAATGCTAAACTAATTTTTACAATATTCGGCTGATGTATAAGACCGATATGTGGTTGAATATAATAGCATCAAGTGATAAACCAAATCTACTTGAACTAAATTGACATCATGTTCCATACTAACATGCTGGACAAATACATATTGATCCTTGTGGACATAATCTGGAGTGTGTCTTGAAAACATTGATCTAACCAATCGAGTTTCATATTATGATTAAAATCAAAACAGTTCGCTAAACGTTGTTGTCCATAATCATAACATAAACAAATATGAAGATCATCATAAAAACAAGAAAGATTTGATGAATATTTTTGACATGGTAATTGATAATATTTGATACGACGAAGAACATGCATTTGAACAAAAGTTTCAGTAAATAATTCATTTATATGTGGACAATGAACTGATAGATTTAGCATTTTATTAGTTGTTGTTGATCGTTCATAAGTGTTTTTGAATGACAGCTAGATAATAAGTTTTATCGAAAAGTTCAATAAAAATAAGATGAAATGATCATGACGAGCAAATTGTTAGTAAATCTTGTGTAAGAGGAAGCGTTCGAAAAGTAGTTGTTCCCATTAGTATATCAACATTAATAATTTTAATGAAATGAATAAGTATCGATTGTGATAAAACAATACTCTTCCCAAATGATAGAATTATTTTGTTATCAATTATTTCACATCGATCACCAATATAGCCTTTTGGACAAATGCGTTCAAATTTTTGATTCGATATCATGTATTCATCAGAAGGAATATATTGTCCATCATGTTGACATGTTAAATTCTTATCCATTTGACATATTTATCGATAAGAAGACATCGATCACCAAATTTATTACTAGAACAATCACATACAGATCGATTGTAAGCTGAGACACCCATACATATTGAATTAGATGAACACATGCAAGTATGTTCAATTGTACAATATCGTCCAGACCATTCTCGATTACATTGACAAAAACTACCCTCTTGTAGATGAACGATTGTTCATAATGAATGTCAAGGTAAATATCGTAGTCTTTCATTCCTTGTCCTTTTGTCTACCTTTTCACAGAGGATTTACTGCAGAAAGGTCAAAACGACAATGTTGAAATAGAAATATACTAAAAAGCTCAACTAATAATATAATTTTTATTTTCAGCATGATGTTTTCCAGGATTTCTTTTACTTTCGACAATTTTTCCTTCCTTACTTTTCTCTTATGTATATCAATAAGTAAAAAGACAAAACATATTTCACCAACAGCAAACAAAAAGATAACCTATTATTAGGCTGTTGCTTTTTCAATGCATCATATTTATTATATGACTCCTGCACGAAATAACTAGTTCTTTACTAATGCAGCATTATCTTCAATTTTTTCAGCATTATATTCGTATTGAACTGATTCATTCAATACACATTCTACGTCAAAATTTTCTTCAAACCAAACTAAGCTTGAACAGTTCAAGAAAAATGTATAGAAGAAGCGAAGTATTCATAGTAAATATCCGGACGTCCTTTTTAGATGACAGCTTATTTGAATATTTGACACATTTTCCATGAATACATTGAGAATTTGAACAACTCAGAATGTTTTCATTAGTTCGTGGAATGTTTGCTATATACGCGATACGATAAACAGGTAAAAATGGAAATTTTATTGGATAAAATAAACTTCCTGGATACGTCAATGAACTTTTTTCATCAATATCAATATGTATTGCATAATTTTTAGTTTCATTTTTTGGTCGATTTGAGTAAAGCAGATATATATTTTACAATCTCTTATTGACAAATAAGTGAATTGTTCATATGAATAAATAATTCTTTCTCCACTATCATCGATAAGTGAAATAATTATTGCAAATAATGTTGACCAAGAATCTGATAATGTTCGAAATATATAATGGTCAAACTCATTCGTTGATTTTGATATTCACACATATTACCATAAAAACTAGACGGGCAAAGACATGTATTTCTTGTTAAGTTCTTTTCATTATTTAACCAGAGATGTAAATGAAAACCACGATGACATCGAGATTCATGTTAATGAAACATTTTGATGTGAGATGACCTTGAAAATATGGGTTTTATCATATTTGGAGTTTGATCTTTGACCGATTTACTCATTCCATTCAAGAAAAAGTATTTAATTTATTGTTTTTTCTTTTCTTTTATTTCGTGACATAAAAACTGCTCAACATCAGAACGAATAGATGACTGAAACGAAAGACAAACACTGCTATATGTAGGAGTATTTGTTCAATTTTTTACACAAAATCTTTCATCATCTCCATGATCACAATTTATTGAATCTTCACATAATTGATGAAAATGAATACATGGTTGATAACTTTTTCCCATGCAGTAAAAATTATTGAAAAATTCTACTTGATACTTTTCTCGACATAATGTTGACTCGTCAGTAGCATCCAGACAATTGATCTTACCGTCATTTGCTTGGTTAACAGGAAGACAAATAAGTTCATTTGTATGAGGTGAAACACATTTGTGGTAATCTAAAAAACAGTTTAGTGTTGAAGATAGATCACAACCAACGTCATCTTCATCATGTGGACAATTCCATACACTATCACAATTAATATAAATATTATTACATGACCATTGTTCACATTCTGTTTCATTTTGTCCTTCGATAGTTATCGGAATCGGTTCAGTAAATTCATCACAAATAGTTTGAAATGAAATATTCTTTCTGACATAGTGTATATGAAAATCTTCATCTTCACACCAATGTTGGTCTTCAAGTTCACATTGACAGACTCCATTTCTAACAAGTGATTGATGTATGTATTTATAAGCTAATTCACATTAGAAGTGATGTTTTAAAAATTCTGTTAAATCAACGTAATTGATTTGTGTTATATTTTCGTTATCTTTGTCAAGATAATTCTCTCTATTGCGCATGGATCGACTCACTGGAATATATTTTGACAAATTAAAACACTGGTACATGTTTGATCTATTACAAATCGCAGAATTATAATTAGTAATTAAGTTAAATCTCTTCAAATCTTGGAATAGCTTGAATAAAGTTGGTTCATATCTATCCTCCCATTTAGTGGACGAAACCATGAGAGAGTCTAGTATATCAGCATGAAAACATGTTTTATTTTTGAATAAGAGCGTTGGACGATCAATAAAATATTTATCATAGTAAGAATTGTTATAGCATATGTAAGGTAGTACAGAATTGCTATCGATCAAATATAATGAGTCATCTTTTATGTGTGTGAAGTAAATGTGACCAAAAAAAAGAGGAATATTCGAAATGTAAAACATATCTGGACATGTGTTGTTAATGATTTCTATACATGTTGTTTTTCCACAAATTCTAGTACACAATGGCTCTTCTGAATCTGGTACTTCTAACACGCATTTGAAAGCTGACCAACATTGTTCAGATATAGAAATGTCTTTAGTAGAATAGATCGCTTTCTAAGTAAACTTTTGCGTTGGTATACACAAGAACTTGTCACGAATGTATAGTAACATATCTTTTCTTCACATTTCAATGATGGTATACCTCTATTACAGTTGTAACTATGTTCATGGCTCATTGAAATTTCGTCAGAACCATCAAGACAATCAGGAGTGCTACGAGACCATCTCGAAAAAATGACTGTAGTATACATTGTCCATTAGTACATCGATATTCATTATCATTACATTCATTCATTTCAAGTTGTCAACAATGTTCTTCATCAAATTCACCATCAAGACAATCATCCTGTCCATTAAAAATTTCACTCCAATCTAAACATGCTGGAAAAGGACCACGATTACATTATAAATGAGTGTAACAGGTAAACTTAGTAGAATTATATTCATATGTACCATAATAATCATGAATAATTTCATCTAAAGATGAATGATTTCGATGATAATAAGTCATTTCATATTGACACATAGAACCAAATCTTGGTAATGTACAGTTATAGAAAACTTGTCTTTCTAAAGATCAATCATTTGATGTTGATAATTGGTTTAAATAGAATTGATAACATTCAACAACATCTATTGGTGCTGACCAAAAGATATAATTGTTGACTAGTAATATTCCATTTCGAAAGTTCAGCAAAAGTAAACTTTGGAAAGAAGTCGTTATTCTCGATATTGAAATTTCAATGGAAATTCATTCATATAATAAGATATAATTTCACGATTAACATTGGATTCATCAATAGAAGCAACAACATGCAAACAATCGTGTTGTAATATATTATGATTCTTACTTTCACTTATCCAATCTATATAGTGAAGATTAATATGAGGTATAGCAACAATCAAGTTTAAGAGAATGAAATTGAATAAATATCTTGTATGATACATTATCTACTTATAATGCATTGACAAATAAATACATTAATGACTATTTATAAAGTTTCTATGTAGGTGATCTTTTTTTTTATAAATATCATTAGGAACTATTGACATTATTACAGTTCATGCTAAACTATAAATAATAGCATTAGTTCCTGCTTGATTGATATAGTTTTTATATAGTTGCTAATAAAAAATGTGAATTCAACAGCTTATCCTCTTACTGATAGGTTTCTCGATTATATTAAGCTTAAAGTTTTGAATGAAATAAGCACACATAAAATATATGTAAGGATAAAAATAAACGATTTTCAATAATTTTCATTTAATAAAGCAATTATTCAATGGGCATCATTGTTATTCATTACATACCACAGTAGTAGGTGAATAATCAATTCAAAATGAAATTAAAGACAGTAGTTTATGTCTTTTTTTGGAACTCAGAGCCTGAAAGATATATAACGTATTTTAACATAAAATATCATTTGTTTGATGATAAATTTAGAATTAGAGAAACAAAGTAATGTTAATTTATCAATATTAATCCTTTAATTTATTAACTGATAAACAGATGTGTATGTTAATGGGTTTACGGACAATAATGCATACAGCAACTAACTTTATAGTAATTTTTTACAGTGTCTGTGATGGCAGTGTAACACGTTCAATTTTTCTTTGTCGTTTTGGTTTGGCACGGCTAGAAGTTTTCGACGATTCTTCTTAAAATATTCTTAGTTTCGAAAGATTTCAATGTGCATCGGTATCAATGAGACACACTCAAATCATGAGATTTCCTTTAAAAAAACTTGGGTATATGAATTACATATTATTTTTGTAGATCCACACCAAGTCACTCGAAGAAGCTCTAGCCTAAGTTTGGCGAGGATCCATTGAAACAATATTGGGTGTGGATTCCTGTCTAATTGAAGACAAGATCATACTTACATATAGGATGTCGAAGTCAAACATCAGCTTGTCAGGCTCTTGATACAAATAGATAGCAATAATCAAATGAATTTATGGTAAATTGTGATCATTAATTCTTGATAGATACATGTCTCTTTTTACGAGGACTTTCTTTTCTGATCTGGAAGTCAATTTGTTTCCGTTTTTTTTGGTGTTTTCATCGCTCTAAATATGTTGAGTTGTTCTCTTTTTGATCAGCCGAAAACAGTGTGAGTACAGGTGTGATGTCTGATTGTTAGTGGGGAGTGTGTGTGGATGAACTTTTTACTCTACAGAAACTCACACTCACCTCTATCCTTAGTTTATTCATTCATTCAAATGTCAGGGATTGTTTCTTTTTAGTAAAGGATATAGTCTGAAATAAAAATTGTATTTGTTGTTTTCCTTTTCTGTCGTTGATTACCACTTCAAATCCAAATGTTTTTTTTGTATCATTGTCACATAAAAGAATTTATTTTAACAATTTTTGGAACAAGAAGAAATGTACGGAGTCGACTTCATATTAAAATAGAATTACATTTTAAACGAACGTGAAAAAATGAAGTTTTGAAGAATTTCAAATTATTTTTGTAACAGCACCAGAACACTTGACATGGATGTTAAACTCATGTTACAATAATATTTTAGTACATAACAACTTATTTTAATTCAACAAAAATAATTCCTACTAAATTATTAACTTTCTTAAGTTTCTAGTTTACAATCTTTCTCTACATTAATTTCTATCAATCTTATTATCTTCAAAAAATGCATTGATGATTTTCTTTTCTTTGCAAATGTTCAATATTCTTCTATCAATTTCAATTAAACAACAACAGATGATTTCTATTAAAAAAGATTTACATGCCTTCGCTATTTTCATTATTAACAAAGCCTTAGTAGCATTTAATGTTTTTTCTTTTCAAAAATGATCAATCAGGTTAAATATTCTTATTAAATAAAATCAATACATTTTTGATGATACCCTCTGATATAAATTAAACAGTTTATTTGAAATATATATGTTTTTAGGTCACTTTATAAAAGTGTTATGTACATATCTTTACTTTTTTTAATATGAATTTTAATAATGATTGACAAATAAAACATCACTAGTATTAAATGTCTAAAACAAGGATTTCTACTGATTTGTTTAAATTATTTGATCAACTTCATCTAATATTAATGTCATTTCAGTTTGTTCAATAATTGAATCAATATTATTAACATATAATGGCAGAGATTGAGCGTGAACTGCAAAAATAGTCATAGACGAAAGCCAAAGAGTTATATTAAGAAATCGTTTCACAGCATCCTTGTAACTATATTTGTAGAGAAGATATTTCCATGCTATTTCTGCATACTTATTTTGAATCTCTAAAATATCAATAGGATTTGTTAACTCGTTTGAGGTATTTGAATAATAACAACCAGTATTTTCAGAAAAAGCGAATAATGAAATTGATAATTTAACCAATACAATATCTGGATCAATGAATTTCTTTGCCCAAGCATGAATATCTACTGCAGGTTTTCCAAACTTTATGGTTAATGTGTTCAAGAAAGCATCAAGAAGATTTAATCGACAATGTAGTACAATGAATGCACCACCCATGCAGCACACATTATCAGCAGCACTACGAAGTATTACATAACGATTATCAGATGATAATTTACGAAGATCATCATTGGAACAAAGATATATCTCTGCTGTTTTGTAAATAGATGCTAAGAATTCATCGACAAGTGTTTGATAAGTTATATAATTAGATTGTGCAATATCATATGTATCTATCAAACGTTGACTGAACGGTATAATTTGAGACTCTTGATAACAATTGAATAAATTTCTAAGAAGTGTCCATTGATCAGTAGTTAATAATGATTGATCTGACGATAAAAGATTTAATGTTGGAAGCTAATAAATAAATAACAAAAACTAGCTTATATTTATAAAACAATTACTTGTAACAATATTATCAACTACTGTTTAATCACGTTTTGAACTATATAATAAGATAAGACTATTTTGAAAATTTTTCACCGATATAAAAATAAAAATTTTAAAAAAAACGAATCAAATTGAGAAGATTTAACATATTTTAGTTTGAATAACAATTCTATATAATAAATATTAAAAATTATTATTTCAATATCCTGAGATTTTCAGAAATGATTTTGCTCTAGTGAGAAACACTACTGATAAAATTTTCAGTCTGATATGTCAAACAAGAATAAACTTATGGCTTACTTATAGTCCATATGTAACCTGGAGGAGAATCTTTATAACATTTTTTATGATCATTTTAGTACATACGATGTTAAAATAAATAATAAATAAGTTTAGACATGAATATTTTTATTCAAATCCAAAAGAAAGAAAAACCTACTAAAATGTCATATTCATAACATATATATTTAAATGGAATGTTTAACAGCACGTCACAGATAACATAAGGTAGCACTATCTGTTGTGTTTGAATTGTAGAAAAATGTGTATTCAATGCTGATGCAAACATAGAGGTAGACTTCACAAAACTAAAAAGCTTTAAAAAAAAACCACGAAAATTCCTTGACAAAAAATATTCGTAGGGTCGAAATTTCTTCCGAAAATCTTCTAAAATTTAACTTTTTTTTTTTCAAAAAATCATATATATTTTGACAGTGAAGACTTCATTGCATCTTCCTATTCCTATGATAAAAACTTAACTTCGATTTTCTGAGGGAAGGAGGCCTAAATGATCAGATTTAGATTGAAGAAATGAAAATAGATCTTCTTTTAGTAATTTAATTTAATAATTTTACCTTCGTTGGTTGATATTGTACTTGTTTTTTAGCTAAAGCGTTTGTTTTTGGTTTATTGTGTCTTGTTGATTGAAGTTTATCAGTAGTCATTCCACATTGAAAACATTTAGCAAGTCGACATGCTGAACAAACATGACGAGTATTTATATTAATTTCACATAGACCATCATAATCACATATAAATGTTGCCTAAATAAATTAGAATGAGAATTAATTGTAAAGAGAAGATCAATCTAATCGATCCAACCTTGGCATTTCGTTTAAAGAACATTTTACATGCATGACATGAAATAACACCTAAATATGAAGATTTAGTAGGAACGTCGCATATTCGACACTCATGTGAAAATATTTTGGGTGTTCTAATTTGTAACGGCATAATTGAGTTTGTTGTATTATTTGACGTCAGTCTTCTAAAGAAAATTCCTCATATATTAAAATCAACTTATTGATAGAATGAGTAAAGAAAAAACAAATATGTGTCTACTATATATAAGAAAGGTTATGCGGGTACTATGGCTATGTTTTTTCTTCTGCATAGAACGAAAATGTTCCTGTGACCCTAAGCATCGTAATATCAGCATTATTTGATCTACTTACGCTGTT